TACTCTTGACAAATAAAAATTGTATATATTTAAGGTTGTACAACATGATGTTTTGATATACATGTACATTGTGAAATTATTTCCACTATCAGGCTAGTTAACTTGTCCGTCCATCACCTCACACAGTTACCGTGTGTGTGTGTGTGTGTGTGTGTGTGTGTGTGTTGAGAACATACAAGATCTACTCTCTTTGCAAATTTCAAGCGTACAATACAGTCTTACTAACTGTACTCACCGTGCTGTACATTAGATCTCTAGAACTTATTCATCCTGCATAACTAGAACTTTATACCTTTTGATCAACATCTCTTCATTTCCCCCACCCCTCAGCTCCTGCTTCTATGACTTCAACTTTTTTAGATTGCACATACAAGACAGATCATGCAATATTTGTCTTTCTGTGCTTGGCTCATTTCACTTAGTGTAATGCCCTACAGTTTTATCCATGTTGTCACAAATGACAGGATTTCCTCCTTTTTAAAGGCTAAATAATATTCCATTGTGTATGTATGTGTGTGTCTGTGTGTGTGTATACCACATTTTATATATTTTGCATATTAACCCTTAATGGAAGTATAGTTTGTAAATATTTTCTCCCATTCTGTAGGTTGTCTTTTCACTCTGTTAACTGCTTCCTTTGCTGTGTGGATGCTCTTTAGTTTGATATAATCCCATTTGTCTATTTTTGCTTTTGTTGCCTGTGCCTTTGAGATCTTATCCAAAAAGTTTTTGCTTCAAACCAATGTCATGAAGCATTTCCCCTATATTTTCTTATAGTTGTTACATAGTTTTTGGTCTTACATTTAAGTCTTTAATCCATTTTAAATTGATTTTTGTATATGGTGTAAGATAAAGGTCTAATTTCATTTTTCTGCATGTGGATATCCAGTTTTTCCAACACCATTTATTGAAGAGACTGTCCTTTCCCCAATGTGTTCTTGGCAATTTTTCCAAAAATTAGTTGGCTGTAGATATGTGGATTTATTTCTGAGCTTTCTAGTCTGTTCCATTGGTCTATGTGTCTGGTTTTTTTTTTTTCTGCCAGTACCATACTGTTTTGGTTACTATAGCTTTATAGTATATTTCAAAGTCAGGTAGTGTAATGCCTCCTGTTTTGTTTTGTTTGCTCAAGATTGGTTTGGCTATTTGCAGTTTTTTGTGCTTCCATATGAATTTTAGGATTTTTTTTTTCTATTTCTGAGAAGAATGTCATTGGAATTTTGATAGAGATTGTATTGAATCTGTAGATCACTTTTCGTAGTACAAACATTTTAACAATATTAATTCTTCCAATCCATGGACACAGGATATCTTTCCATTTATTGGTGTCTTCTTCAATTTCCCTCATCAGTGTTATATAATTTTTATTGTGGAGATTTTTCATCTCCTTGATTAAATTTATTCCTAGGTATTTTATTTTTTATAGCTGTTGCAAATGAGATTGTTTTAATTTTATTTTTCAGATAGTTTACTATTAGCATATACAAATGCTAATGATTTTTGTATGTTGACTTTGTAACTGTACTGAATTCATATATTAGCTCTAACAACTTTTTGGTGGAGTCTAGGTTTTTCTATATATAACATGTCAATTGCCTACAGGGACAATTTGACTTCCTCTTTTCCAATTAGGATACGTTTATATCCTTCTCTTGCCTAATTGCTCTGGATAGGACTTCCAGCACTATGTTGAATAAGAGTGGTGAGAGTGGTCATTCTTGTCTTGTTCCAGATCTCAGAGGAAAAGCTTTCAACTTTTCTCTGTTCTTTATATTAGCTGTGGTTTTGTCATGCATGGTCTTTGTTATGTTGAGGTACTTTTCTTCTATACCTAATTTGTTGAGAGATTTTATCATGAAGCGATGTCAAATTTTGTGAGATGCTTTCTCTGCTTCTGTTGATGGATTTTGTTCTCCATTCTGTTAATGTGAAGTATCACATTTATTGATTTGTGAATGCTGAACCATCCTTGCATCCCTAGGATGAACTCCACTTGATCAAGGTGAATGATCTTTTTAATGTGCTGTTGAATTTGGTTTACTACTATTTTGTTGACGATTTTTGCATCTATCATTGTCAGGGATATTGGCCTATAGTTTACTTTTTTGTTGTGTTTTTGTGTGGTTTTAGTATCATGGCAATGCTGGCCATGTAGAATAAGGGTTTTTTTGTGTGTGTTTTTTTAAAGATGACTGGTAAAGGGATCTTAACCCTTGACTTGGTGTTATCAGCACCATGCTCTCCCAAGTGAGCTAACCAGCCATCCCTATATAGGGATCCAAACCCATGGCCTTGGTGTTATCAGTACCACACTCTCCCAAGTGAGCCCCTGTAGAATAAGTTTAAAAGAATTCCTTCCTTTTCAATTTTTTGGAATAGCTTGAGAAGAATTGGTACTAGTTGTTCTTTTTTAATGATAAACAAATCATAAAACCACTTTCAGTTTCTTATGTGACTTTCACAAGTCACGGGAAATGTCAGAGGAAACATCAAAATGACATTGTATATATTTACATTTAAAACTGAATTTAGACTTACACAACATGGACTCATATACACTGAAATCTTTGGAAAAATTGTCCTGCAAAAATCATCATTGTAGATGTATTAAAATTTATATTTGCAGTTATTTATCAAAAACTTATCCAAGTATTATTATAGCCTATAAAATATTCTTAATGGCTCCAGTAAGATTCCATCAGCAGAAAAATTCTCTCAAAATTAAAAATTATCAAAAATTATTTATGATTTTTCACTTGCCAAGAGCAAAAGAACAACTGATATTGTTTTCAATTATATCAATTGAAAATGAAGTTATTAAAATTATAAATTTTGATGACCTAAAAAATGAATTTCCAGAAAAGTAAGCAAAAAAAATCTTATGGTCAATCAGGATCACACTAGTAAAAGCTTATTATCTGTTGTATTCTATAAAAACTTGACACCAAAATATCATATTTTTTGCAGGTTGATGTTGTTACTCATGTATCACCATTATCCTGATTACATTGTATTAGCAATAAAATATTTTTAGGTAAAAGTCTTTATATTTTAGAACTTTTGAACACAATCACCTCATTTTTATTTTGCACCAGGACACACAAATTATATGGATAGCCTTCCCTTAATTTCTAAAAAAGTCTTGAGGCTGATTCCCATTGGCCTTGCTTGAGACACTGATAGAATTGGTAAGGGTCAAATTTACCAAAACCATATGTATTTAGAGTGTAGGAGAAATGATTACCTAATGGGAAATCAGGGATGGAAAAAAAAATAATAGATGTCCTCCACAAAAAATTGCTTAAGTGACTGATAGAATTGGTAAGGGTCAAATTTACCAAAACCATATGTATTTAGAGTGTAGGAGAAACGATTACCTAATGGGAAATCAGGGATGGAAAAAAAAATAATAGATGTCCTCCACAAAAAATTGCTTAAGTATATTTTAAATAATTTTAATAGATTTATGATGACAGTTCATTAAGGGGTTCCTAAGATATTTGGGGGATGTCCCTAACCTTTGAAATTTGAAAGTAAAGGTGACAAGCAAATCTTTTTACTTTATAATCCTTAGCACATTGTTTAAAGGCAAAATTATGGGATAAAATGGACCATGAATCTAGCTCCATCATGCTCTCATGTGAAAATATCTTATTATAAGATACATTTGGTATTTCACATTAATAAACTGCTTTGTGGATTCCAAGGTAATTTTGCTTTTAACCCAGTATTATTCTTCAATGTATAGTCATATGCTTCCATGCAGTGTAGTTGAAATTAGTGCTATATGCAAGCAATTACTCTCTGTTTATAAGAAGGTAATTTTTTACAAAGTAGTGGCTCTGCCACCCTCTAGCCATGAGATGTGGATCTCACTTTTCTTATCTGCAAATTTAGATGCTTCCCATGCTACTTCCCTTCACAGGGTACTCTGGGGCTCAAAAGAATTGGTGGATATAAAGGACTCTGCGGGTGGTCCCATTATTTTCTATTATTTGTGTTATTATTTCATGATCACACTCTGTTCCCAAAATCTAGAACTCTACAATTTCCCCTTCACATTTATGGTCTACCCGAGATCTTAGTTCTAAAAAGAAATCATTCCAGAACATCTTGTTCCCATGTGGATATGCCTATCCTTCACCCCCATCACCCAACATGGGCCTGACTGTGTGGCTACCAAAAGCATGCCTCAGTCTACCTGAAAGTACTCCTGTCTATGCTTCTCCCCACTCCCATCTTGGCTCTGGTCTGCTTAAAATGAAATGATACTTTTCTATAAGAAGGTGTTTGGTTTTCTACGTACGGCTGGCTGTCCACTCCCAGAGGTGTTTTGATTTGACCCTGACTGTGGCCCAGCACTGCCTCTGCAGTCTATGCCCAGCGTGTAGAAGGAAGCACCTAGTCATTCTTCCCACTGTTCTCACTCTGACCATTCTCCCAGCACCTGGTTTCTCATTCCTACAGTTTAATCCCTAACACAGGTGCCTCTAGTCTTCCCACTTTCTCAGTCTCTCTCATAACCCCACCGCCCTAACTGCCAGACCTCTGACCCTCTATGTCCTCCCTGAACCTCCTTTTCCCAGCTGCTCTCCAAACTGTTTAGCCTTTGCTACCGGATTACCCACTGGGAAAGTCCCTAGCTTCCAGCCTCACACCCACCCAAACCTGCATCTGATTATGTCATTAATCCTGCATTTGTAGAACACCTACTATGTGCAAGGCATTGTGCTAAACCATGGAGTATTATGGTGAACAATGGCTGGATTCCCTGCTTTCGTGGAACTCACAGTCTAGAAGGAGGAGACTGATAAAGACTAGCTAAAGGAAGAGTAATTACAGATTAGGGGTGGTGCTTTTAGGAAAACAACAGGGTGCTGAGATAGAGATTAATGGGGACGAGGGAAGGATATTCCTCGACAAAACGGTATTAAAGGCAAGACCTGAGGGATGAAGGGAGTTATTAGCCCTGTGAAAACAGGGGCAAATGTTTTGGGCAGATGCGGTATGTGCAAAGGCCTTAAGGAGGGCCCTCACATACAGTTGTGCAGATCGTTTCTGACACAAACAGACTAGCCCAGGGAGCAAAGAAGACTGAAACCCATCCAGGCTCTGCTCCCCAAGCAATATGCCATGGTAGTGGAAAGAAATGGCTATTTTATCTAATTCTCACGAAGACACCATATGGGCTAATAGCAGCCCAGGCCTTAAGGCAGAAAGAGGATGGTTCTCGGTCCTGCTCTCTCCGCCCTGGGGCTGCAACCTGTGTTCACATCCGGGGATCTTGCACTCAGTTTCCATACGCCCGTCTCCTTATGCTTGCCCATTCTTAGAAGCCTCCTCTACGTTTCATTTCATCTTTCCAATGGTAACAACTCAAATTTACAATGGCATATTACACTTGCTTCAAATCTCATTTGATCTTCCAATATCTATGTAAGATAGCTAGGACAGCAATTTTTATTAATTGAAATATAATTTTCATGTAATAAAATGAATAGATTATGTGTTTGGTTAGATATTTTTCAATAATTATATACATCCACCTAACCAATTCCTAAATCAAAGATACTAAGCATGTCCAACATGCCTGAAAATTTCCTCCTGCCACTGTCCAATCAAATATCCACCAGCCCAGTCCTAGGCGACCACTGATTTGATTTCTATCATTATTGATCAGTTTTGCCAGTTCTTGGTCTTCATGAAAATGTAACTGTGCAGTAAATATTCTATTGTGTCTAACTTCTTTTACTAAACCTGATGTATTTGAAATTCATTAATTCACATTCATGCATTCACATACTGAGTTGTGTGTCTCACTAGTCCATTCCTTTTTATTGTTGAGTCCATAGAATAGATATACCGCAATTTATCTGTTACTCTACTGATATTTGGACTATTTCTAGATTGGCTATTTTGACTAAAGCTGCTATAAATATTCTTGTACACTTCTTTAAAAAAAAAAAAAAAAAAAAAAAAAAAAAAAAAAGGCCAAGAGTATCTTTGAGAAGATTCCAGTTGTTATCAAGAGACACTGCAAATCAATCTGCTTAGACCCATGTGCAGGAAAAAAAAAAAAACTCAGCCTGCCTTCATCTTTGACTGATGGGGAAGTTGTGAATTCCACCCATGTAGTCAAAGCTTTCTTGCTGGACTGCTGCTTATTTTGAAGTTAACAAAGGCTAAGGAAGCCCATTGTAAAACGTTTGTTAGGAGGGCTAGAATCTAAAGTTATACTCCTTGTCATGGTCACTTTTTTAAAAAAAAAGATGACAGATTGGAGCCACAGGAGGGGAGAGACTATAGCAATGCTAGGAATAAGAGGCCATCAGAAGAGGATACTCTTTCTTTCTGGCTTGCAGTTACTGTTGTTTTCCATGTGCTCCTAGGGGTGCCAAGTTTATCACCATGGCTGAAGACAGGGCTGGGAATGTGGTGGGCAATATGACAATAATTTCCTTCCTGGTGTGTCTCTGAATGGCTAGCAGAGTCAACACATAATCAGACATCTACAGCTGTACTGTTGCTGATGACAACTTCATTATGCCTATGATATTCAGCTGGGTAATTCATTTCCCAAGCATGGCAATATCTCCTGATATGCCTAATGGGTTGCATATAATTTTGTAAGCTTTTGAAGATGAATATTCCTCTTGTGCTTAGCTTTGCCCTAATATGGGAAACAATGATAACTACAATTAGAAAACAGCATTGTCATGTTCAGCTTTTTAGTGCAGATCAAGTCTCCAGACCACAAAGACAGGAAATATTAGTGATTTGAAATGATACACTTTATGTGGGTCGCTCAATGTCCCTTCTAACTGCTTTTTGGCCTGCCTCTGCATTTAACCTTCATGTGACCGGGGCATTCTACAAAATAAGGGAGCCTTGCCAAGGACATAAAATTAGTTAATTAATGGTTTCTGGGGTGAGGTGGGCTTTGGCATGATATGCCTATGGTCACCAATGCTGCTCTGAAATGGAATAACCAGATGAAAAATAAGAAATATGACCCATGCATAGTGTCCAACACCCAAGCTGCATTTTTTTTATAAAACAGATAAAAGTTTAAAATGCATTCCTCTGAGTTATCTTTAATTATGTTCGATTAAATATATATGTATTGAAAATGATCTACCATGCACAGGTTCCCAATCCAGGAGCTGAGAGGGAAATTCAAAGGTTAATGAGGCCCGAGTCCTGCCCTCATAGAGGTTTCAATCCAGTAAGGAAAGTAGATAGAGCCCAAGTAATTCTAATGAAGTTGGGCTGTGCTGAGAGTATTAACTTAGTTACAGTACTACAGTGAGAGAGAAGAAAGACACCCACTGTATTTGGGGAATAGAAGAGAGGTGAATATGCTATCTTCAAGGCCACCTTCCTGCCTCTACCAGCCAATCTGAATTCTTTTTATGAAAAACTGGTCTCCTGAGAATCTTACTTGAGTCAATTCTTCATTCTGAGAGTTAGGATTCCTCATCTTATCTGATTTCTAAGTGCTTCTTGGTCATCACTGATAATGATCAGTTCTAAGTGTCCCTAATGAAAATGGAAAAGCAGCCTAAAGATAGGTCTAAGAATCTTTCAGCTTATTGTTTTATTCTTTTATCTACCACCACACCTGTTTTCTTGAATTTAGAAAACTAAATTCTATTAGGCAGACTCCCGTTGGCAGCTAGAAAATAGAGACTGATTCTGTGCTTATACTTTTAACTATAGATATTTTTGATATTAAGATTTTCTTTACAAAAAAAAAAGGAGAAGCAGGAGGATGAGGAATAGAAAACATGGGCAGGGGAGGAGGAGGAAGAGGAAGAGTCTACCTAAAATTCAGCAAAGCATTTATCCTACAGTGTTTTGACTCATCAACTTGACCACTTCGATTTATCTATTGAGCCTTACAGACTCCAACTCTCATGCTTTTGGTGAGGATTCATACATTCTGACGGGTAGGTGTACATGTAAAATAGGATTTTGAAAAAGTTGAAACCATGTAATCTGCTAATTACTGTGCTGTCTTAATCTGAGCAAACTTTCTCTGGTTCATGAATTATCAAATCCTAGGGCATTAACCATTTCATTTTAAAATTGAGAATTCTGCACAACATTCTTAAAGTAAGTGAAGACACAAAAATCAAAGTTGGCTTTGAATTGCCCACAAAAGACCTTCCCAGAGAAATGGCCAAAATGAGTGTTGCAAATGGAGAGAGATCCCAACATCTCTGTGATGGATCACAGTCCTCCACCACAACCCACAACAGTCCAAATCTCACTATACAGAGACATGATGGAGATCCAGTTAACAACCCATTTACTGCACATGCTATTCATTATGACTAAATCCAGTACATCAAAGAATATAGATGGCCTTGGGGATGGTTGTAAGGAGAAGCAACCTGTGCTGACTCCTCTTGGAGAGATTTAGGTGAATACTGCCACCTATTGATAGGTGAAATACATGCTACAAATTCCTGCTCTGACCTGACATTGTACTAATGTTTATTAGAACAGACCTCATTACTCAGTTAGCCAAAGCATTTTAATAGCCCCAAATTCATAATTCTTAATATATTTGTGATGAAAAATAAGTATGTTACACTAATTTAAAAGAACTCACAAAATGTATTTCAGGTAAGAGGCAAAGGAGCCAGGGAGAAATATCACGAGCTTTACAGAGATCTGGGTTTGAGTCTCAGCTCAGCCCCTAAGTACACATAAACAAGTTAATTAATATCTCTGAACTTTAATTTCTCTATCAATAAAAAGTAGATAATCCTACTTTGTAGGGTGTGAGAATTCAGTGATATTGCTGCATGGCACACACAAGGTATTTGATAAATAGCAGCATTTATTATTATTTTCCACTGAGCTATTAAAAGTAACTAGTTGTAATTCAGTGATTGGTAATATGACAAACCACATCATGTATCAGACTCTGGCAAACTCTTCCAAGTGGTTCAATTACCCTTCAGCAATGCTACTTGTCTAGTATAGTATCTTTGACATCCAAAATTAGGACATGTGTGAACATAAATATTAGAACTTTAAGTGTGCCAATTGAGAAAATGAGGATAAATGGGCTTCATTACCAACCGTCTCCTGACTGCCTTAGAGGATATATGGAGCTGAGCAGATAAAGAATTATGATAAAACTTTGGAGCTGTGTATAAATGGGGCTTTGTGACCTGTTGGATAAGGTTGAGACTTAGAGCCAGACCTAGGAGGCTCACATTCCTTCCTCGGCATGGTGTGGGGGATCCTGGGCTCTCACAGACAATAGGGGATTCATAGCTGGAGAATTCTAATGATGACTGAAAGGAGGGTGGCAGCCAGAACAAGAAGACTTTTCAGAAGCACGGCCTCTGATTATCACATCGGTGCTACAGCCCGGGGAGAGGCTGCTGAGAGGACACACGAAGCCGTTCTTGGAAAGCTTTCAGTGAAGTGTTTGCAACCTCCTTAAGAGAATCCCATTTCTCAAAAATGTGATGCTGGAAAATCTCACATGATTAGTTCAGATAAACATTCTGTCGTCGAATTGCACTAGAAGTAGTACGGACCATCTCTTTGTGGAGAGTCTTTTTGAAGTTCATGTGTCTAGTCTCCAAGACCTGGAGAAAAATCCCAAAGGAGGGTTTCTCAGGGTATTTTGGGACCGTTACTTTTAGTCTGAAAGGTCAACTGATGCTTAAAACAAAATAATCAAGAAATAACATGCCTATGAGCAGTCTGCACCTTTTGAAAAGCCCTTCTTTGGACTGAATAGCCGATGCCCTCCTCCGCCCCTTTTCTCTTTTCTTTGGGGCTTAGAAATTGAGAGGGAGGCGGAGGAAGAGTTTCACATTCATTACTAACAACTTTGCACATAATAAGCATGTTCAGATACACCCTGGGGTGTTAGTTTTCTTTTCTTATTTTTTTGTCCCCTTTTTAGCAGCTTTTGATAAGTGGCACATTTTATTTTTGAAAAAGAATTGAAGCCGTTATTGAGCAGCCGCGCCCTAT